GAATGGATGGGCAAGGTAAGATTCCTCCTCCCCCCTAGAAACTCTGTTTCAAAAAAAAAAAAAAAAAAAAGAAAGAAAGAAAAATGTAGCGACCACTACTTACAAAGGTCTACTTTGACTAATCTGTTCAAACTCTGATATTCCTGTTTGTATTTATTCTGTCGCACCCAAGAATTTCACTTTTTAAAAGGCTTAGATAGAACACTACTTCTACAAAGAAACAACTAATTTCCCTTTTCTAAACAATACTATATATTCAAACAAGACTTCTTCTTAAGTCTTCCCCAAACTTTAAATCCCAAGTTTGGCGTCACCAGGCTACCAAATTAAAATCCCGTAGCATAAGACAGGGAAATAGCTACATTCAAAAAATAGGTAAAACAACTTTCTGCGCACTCTACAGATACGGTTACAGAAACAACACTTCCTCTTGAGTTGCTCTTGGCCCTACAGCACCATCGGTTACAACGAGCACCTGCTACTCACAAGCACCACGTACGCAAAAGCACGCACGCCTCCGCAACCTTCACGCTGTAAACAGAAAAGCATGGTTAACAAAAAGCGGGCTGCGCTGGCTGCAGCCTGTCAGGGACTTGCTCCTGGCTCCCCTTAGAGCCGGAACCGCGGGGATCACTCTGGCCCCGCCTCTGCCGGGGCCCGCGCTCCTCAGACCCGGGAAGCGTAGGTTGGTGGGGTCTCCGCGTCCCGTACGCTGCCACCCTGGCGAAAAGGCAAAGCACAGTGGGCCCCATCTGGCGAGGACGACGCCCGAACGGCCAACTGTCCCGGGCCCGAACTGACCTGCCGCTGCCTCCATCCCGCCACCAGGCTGGAACTCGCGGCTTCCGGCCGCTTCAGCCCGAGGACCGTGCGCCCCAACCAGAGTGAAGAGCCTTCGAACCAATGGGCAGCTCGAGCCCGCCCCTACCCCATCTTGATAAGACTATTGTCTCTTCCTTCAGCCAATTAATCGCCGGAGGTGTTCCTCAGACCAGCCCGCAGGTTCCGGCTTAGACAAAACTCCGGGAGCTTACTTCCGTGCCACGCTCGCTAGTGGGAGACGTCCAATGGACGCGCAGACTTTCTCTCCCACTGCTTGAGATATAACCAATGGGAGCATGGGATGAGGATTGACAGGCCCTGCAACTTGTCGGCCGTAGCCGCGCTGGCCAGAGACCCGCCCTCCACCCGAAGCCCGGAGCCGGGCGCACTCGCCCGGGTAGCCGGGGCCAATGCGGCGCGGGGGGCGGGGATTGTTTACGTCCCGCTCAGGAGCGGAAAGTAGGTCACCGCCGACCCGGCGGATCGCGGCGGCGGCGCGGCTGCAGGTGAGCGGCGGCGGGGCTGTGGTCAGCGCCTCCCAGAGCCTGGGTCGGGCCCCACGGACCCCAGAGGGCTCGAGGCGAGTCGCGCGCGCTGACCTTGCTGGCCTGGCCGGCCTGGGAGCGGCGGCCGCCAGCACTGTCAGGCCCGCCCGCCCTTTGTTCCTCCGAACGGCCGATTCAGCGCCCCGAGTCCGGACTTGCTCGGCGCCAGCCTCCTGACCGCGGGGCTGCCCTTTCCTCCTCCCAGGCCCACACGGGCCGGGCCACGAGAACCAGGAAATAGGCCTGACTAGTGCGAGCCTCTGGCCTCCAGGGTTGGCGCGGGCCGCCTGGCTTCTTGCGGTGACAGCCGCGGCTGGCCATTCATTCGCCGTGCATCACGTGGCGCCTACTGTGTGCGGCAAATGTGGCGAGTGGAGATTAAGCCGGGATGGGAGCCCATTGGAGCCGCGAGCTTCAGTGCGGGCTGGTAGAGGCGTAGTCGGCATCGGCGGAGGTGGGCCTGGTGCTGCCCGCGGACGCGCTCCCAGGACTGGGAAACTGCACCTGCGATCGTTCACCCACCCGATGCTTGGGGCGTCCGTGGCCCTAGCCCGTCCTTATGTGGTGAACAGTTCCCGCCCTCATTGGGATTTCAGCCGGGGGAGAGCCAGGCATTAGATAGTCCCAGAGATCAGCGTGTCAACGTTAAGTTGGATCTGGAAGATGAGGGCTGAAGGTAGAGTAGGACCTGCCTTAAGCAGGTGGAGAAGGGCGTTTGGGGGAAAGGGCAGGAACCAGCAGGCAACTTACAGGAGGCAGGGTGACTCGAGGAAGCAGAGAACCAGACTTCGTAGAATTCTGCATTTTATTCCAAGAGCAATGGCAATGCACAAATGGGTTTTAGAATTTGTGTTTCAAAACAGAACTTGGCTGTAGTGAGTGAAGTGGAAGTTGAGTCATGCAGTCCAGGGGATGATGGTGGGGCTGCCTGTCAGCGAGAAAGAGACTCAAGTGCAATGGGTGGCATCCGGTCATGGTGGGCAGGAGGAAGGGTGTGTCAGGATGGATGGCTGCCCTGTTTCTGGCATGAAGAACTGGGAGGTTGGAGATGCCACTTGTCAAATTGGACAATGGAGGCGGAGCCGGTAAAGGTTAGAGATGCAGGCGGGGCAGCCAAGTTCGTGAAGAGCCAGAGAGAGAGGGCCTAAGAGTCACATTCCGGAGTCATGGACGTCTGGATGGCATTTCACACCATCTACCTAGGTTTTATCAAGGTGCTCAGATACCTGAGTGAGGTACAGACTTGCGGACAATTCTGGAGCTCTGGCTCAGCATCTGCCTGGCTTCTGCCTCCAGGTGGGTCTGTGGCCCAACCTGCAGAGCAGCTGAGACAAAGGCCTGGGGGTGGTGGTGCTAGGGGCTATTCTTACAGCCTCCATGTCTTCTTTTGCTCAGAACCTGTCCCCCCCAGATTTTCTTCACCATGGCCAGACGCCCCCGGAGCAGCAGGGCATGGCATTTTGTCCTGAGTGCAGCCCGCCGAGATGCAGATGCCCGAGCTATGGCTCTGGCAGGCACCACTAACTGGGGATACGACTCTGATGGGCAGGTAGGTCCCAGTGGACAAGGCTGGAATGAAGTGTGGAGAAGCTTGAGGCAGGTGTTATCTGACTGGGAAGCATAAAGAAGTTCCTGAAGCCAAAGGATGGAGCAGACCCGGGACTGAATCCTGGGTGTGCCATACTCAGTGAGGTTCTTTAACCTGCTAAAAGACACACAGCCTTAGGAGTGACAGGACCTTAGAACAAGCACCATATTCTTCTCTATTCTCTCTTCTCTGACAAATGCAGTTCATGGAGGTTGGTAGTTTTTGGTCAGTTCATTCAACAAAAATTCTCCATTGTGTCTACCCAACCAGTTTCCAAAGATAGCTACTAACTGAACTGCTAGATCTTTTTTCTGCCAGTACAAATATGTATTCGGTAGAGTGCCATGGCATCATAGCGCACAGCAACCTCCAGTTGTTGGGCTTAGGTGATTCTCTTGCTTTAGCCTCCCGAGTACCTGGGACTATAGGCATCTGCCACAATGCTGGGCTATTTTTTATTGCAGTTTGGCCAGTGCCGGGTTTGAACCTGCCACCCTCGGTCTGCGGGGTGGGTGCCCTACTCAGAGTCACAGGCACCACCCAAAGCCCTGGTTCTTGAAAACCAAAATTCCTAGGCCTCTCCCACTCAGGAAGGCCCCCAAATATGAAGGTCCATGGAGAGGCTCAAGTGTTTATAGACCGGACTGGCCAGTGTACCTGTGGGCTTTGCTGGGTTATGCTGATGTCTGCTGTGGCAGGGCCCCTGGGATAGGCTATACTGCCTTTCTGCCTGATGGGTGGCAATGAGGCAGAAGGGGGTGAGGTTTCTCAGCTATTTTCTCGAGATATACCTTAGACCAGATTAAGAGTTTGGCCATTAGCTGGTGGGGCTGTTGCTTGAGTGACTTGTCTCTGCCTTGTTGTCTCAGCCAAATGTCCTGGGAAGGGACCAGGTCCCTCTCCTCCAACCAAAGGCTTCTCCCTTAGCCCTACAGGACCACTGGGCATTGGGGGAAGATCAGAAGCCATAGTTTGCTGACCAACCTGCTCCAAACAGGGAGAGGCCAGGCCTACATTCCTTTCCTGCCTCCAGCTCCCACTAGTCACATGGCTGAGCAGGCTGCTGTCTGCCCATCTTATAGGCTCATGGCCATGGCAGGCAGGTGGTATCTACAGGCTGGGGGCAGTCTCTGACACATGCATGCTGCTTGTCCTCTGTCACCAAATGGGCCTGTAGACATGTGCATGGGCAGGTCATTCTGGACACCTTGGAAGGTTGAATTGACATACACCTCTGCACACAGAGCTGCCAGTGGGATCAAGTCTCTCTCCTTCCCAGGGAGCTAGGGTGATAGCCTTAGGGTTCAGTTCTGGACCCTGGCTTCTGACTCAGTGGGCCTGCCTTGGCTTTGGGGCGATCCCCTTCCATGCCAGAGGCATGTAGTCCTCTGGGTCTGCCTTCTCTACAGGGTAGGATCCTCCTCCTCTTCAGAAGACAGCTGTTCTAAAGTTGGTCCCTGATAGACCACATTTGCCTGGATGCTGAATGAGCTTCGTGGGTCCTGGCTCTTTGTGGCTTTTCCTGAAGAGGCAGGCCCCCTCTGGGGCAGCACATGCTGCAGGTGGTTTCTGAGGGGGCTACCCATCTCCCCACAGGTGCCTATCTCTGACACAGACCTCCTTACTCAGCTGTCTCTCCTCTTGACTCATTCATTTCACTTAGTAACTGTGGCCACTGTGCGGTTGTAAAGGCAAGATGAGAAGAACAGGCTTCCCTTGAAGAGCTTTTGTTCTAATAGAAAAAGGTACAGAAACAGGACAAAGGAGAATTTCAGAGAAGTGCAATGAGAAGAAACTGAAATAGGTGAAAGGTCTGGAAGAGCCTCACTGAGGTGGTTAACTATCCTCTCTACTTGGAGAAAAAAATAGTTCTATTCAGGAGAGGGGATGGCAGATGTACAGAGCCCTCTGATGGGAGCCAGTGTGACAAGAGGGTGGCGAGAACAGGGATGTAAACAGCAGGCCAGGGTACATGCTGTGGTGGGAATATAAGCTTTCTTAGGGCAGCAGGGATCTACCTATGGTAAAGGAGGCTGAGGCCCTGCTGGCTGTGGCTGAGCCCAGCTGTGATGTCTTGAGGCCTGGCATGGGTCAGAGCCTACAGGGGCTGGGTGAGCAAGCCAGCAGAGGCACGGGAAGGATCCAGGCTCATAGGAACCAAACCTGGCTGACCTAGGTGGGTCTGTAGGTCAGTCTGTTGTCAGAACCTGACCAGCTCAGTCTTGGCATCTGGCCACTGGGCCAAGATCAGAACCCTAGGACTTAAAGAACTTTCCATAAGGACTGAGCCCCTTAGAGGTAGCAGCTGAACCCCAGCTTCCTGCCTCCCCGTAGCACATGCTTACTGTGCCTTATGAGAGAGCAACCCCTGCCATGGACAGGCTGGGTCCTTGCTGTGAGCCAGCTGCTATCTGGGGGCACCTGTGCTGCTGCCCTGTGGCTTCTTCATATACAACCTGCCTTGACAAAGCTGGGTAGGGAGCCTGGGGCACTATCTTGAGTATTCATTAGTGGCTGGACCTCCAGGGAACTACTGATTCTAGACCTATGGGGAAGTGGCCTTGCCAGTTCTGGCACTAGGTGTGGGCAGGAGCCATGCCCTGGGGGCACTGCAAGGTCATGCTGTGCACATGGGACACCAAGCAATTCTTCTAGGCCCCATCATCAACAGATCAGAACTGTTCCAGTCCCCAGGGTGGGGGATGGGGGGAGTCAGGGCCAGTAGAAGGTGGGTGGCAGGCAGGACAGTGCATCCTTTCCTCCCAGCACAGTGACTCAGAGTCCGACCCTGAGAATGCACCCCTGCCACCATCCATCCCCAGCGCCGTGCCTGTGACTGGAGAGTCCTTCTGTGACTGTGCCGGCCAAAGTGAGGCCACCTCTTGCAGCACCCTGCACACAGCTCATCGGGGCAAGGACTGTCGTTGTGGGGAGGAAGACGAGTGTGAGTGCCAGTGAGCTGTGCCATGAGGATCATGCCAGTGGGTAGGCTTGGGGGTGAGCCTAGGGGAGCTCTAGCAGCTGCCCCAGCCTGGGCCTCTCCTTACAGATTTTGACTGGGTATGGGATGACCTGAATAAATCCTCAGCCACTCTGCTGAGCTGCGACAACCGCAAAGTCAGCTTCCATATGGAGTACAGTTGCGGCACTGCAGCCATCCGGGGCACCAAGGAGCTGGGGGAAGGCCAGCACTTCTGGGAGATCAAGATGACCTCACCTGTCTATGGCACTGACATGGTAAGTGGCCATAGGCCCAGGGGTATCTTGGCCCAGGGGTGGAGCAGAGGGTGGCCTTGGAGGCCTCGCTGCCCAGCACCATTGCTCCTAGATGGTGGGCATTGGGACATCAGATGTGGACCTAGACAAGTACCATCACACATTCTGCAGCCTACTTGGCAGGGATGAGGACAGCTGGGGACTCTCCTACACAGGTGTGTGCAGCCCAGGGTGGGGCAGGTAGAGCAGGGCAGGGCCAGGCTCCTGGGCTTACCCCTGCCCCACTACCCTTAGGACTCCTTCATCACAAGGGAGACAAGACAAGCTTCTCCTCGAGGTTTGGCCAGGGCTCCATCATCGGTGTGCACTTGGACACCTGGCACGGGACACTGACTTTCTTCAAGAACAGGAAGTGCATAGGTGAGGGTGGCAAGGGCACAGCTTCTCCCCGTCATGACCTTGCATGGAGACAGGCACCCAAGTCTTCCTGAAAGGCTTTCTCCTAGGAATTGGAAGTCCCAGGGTCCCCAGAGGGTGGGCCAGGGTCCAGTACAAGTCCAGGCTGGAATCTCACGGACCAAGGTGTGAGTACCAACATCCCACTCAGTTGCACAGTGGCTTACGAGGTCACTTTAGCATGATGCCTGAGGGGCTGATCGGGCAGCATGACCCTTCCTTGCCCTTCTCACTGGCTCAGGGCTCAGGCTGGGCCCCTCCCTTCCAGGAGTGGCAGCTACCAAGCTGCAGAACAAGAAGTTCTACCCGATGGTGTGTTCCACAGCAGCCAAGAGCAGCATGAAGGTGATCCGCTCCTGTGCCAGCGTCACCTCCCTGCAATATTTGTGTTGTTATCGGCTGCGGCAGCTGCGGCCAGACTCAGGGGACACACTTGAGGGCCTACCCCTGCCGCCTGGCCTCAAGCAGGTGCTGCACAACAAGCTGGGCTGGGTGCTGAGCATGAACTGCAGCTACCGCAAGTCCCCAGCACCCACACCCAAGGCAGTGGCTGTAGCCAGTCCCAACAGCCCTGAGACCAGGCCCTGCCAGAGGAAACGCTGCCGACGGACCTAACTTATTTTCCAATGAAAATTGCCTTCTTGGGCTGGGACAGCTCTTTTCTCTGTCCCTTCCTTCCAATCACACTCCAGGGCAGGAGAGGGAGGAGTTAGGGGAAGTATCTGGAGCCATCTCCCAGCCTCCTCTGAGGCCAGGACAGCCCTTCCTATAGAGCCTCCAGGGCCACAGGCCACTGAGTGTCTAAGTCCATTCTGCTGCCTGTGCTGGCTGGGAAGCAGCTGCCCAGCCTTGAGTCTCCCAGGGGGCTGTTATCTGCTGCCTGAGGAGAAGGGCCTCCTTGGAGTTTGGCTGTCCTGTTTCTGTGGCCTTGGTTTTTTCCTAACTTGCTTTGCATGTGACTGGCTGCTCCTCTGTCACAGAGACTTCCGTGACTGTAATAAACATAAGAGTCTAACTCTAACATGCACACAACTGTGAGATTAAGCAAACCCACACAGGGAGGCCTGGGGCTCACTGGTCGTCTATGGGTTTTCTCCTATTGCGTCTGACTCCATCCTGACACCCTTGCTACCTAGAAATTTCCTAACTGCTTCTCTCAGAGGATGCCACCTAAGCCTCCAGGTGGCATAGGGGACCTGGCTGTTCTGCTGCCCCCCAGATTGTCCTAGCTGGACATAGAGCCCTGCTGCTAGGCTCCCCATGGCCATTATGTCCTGGGCCAAGGGCATGTGAAGCCCCCTCACTGCCCAGACCCTCTACCTACATGCTACCTAGTAGACAATAACTTGCTCATCTGCTCATCCGTTATTCAAGAACTCTCCCTGTCACCCTTTGTTCTACCTGTGAGGTCACACCCACCCAGAGAGTGAGAACCCTTCCTAGGCTAAGGGTACTAGTTTTGCCCCCTCCCTGCCCCTCAAGGTATCCCATCCAGTCAGTCCCTGAGGCTGTGTACCATCCTACTGGTAGACAGGAGAGGAGGCCCCACCACGTCCTGCAGCTGTGGTCAGGAGCCCAGGTCCAACAGGAGGTCAGGGTTGGTGGTGGTCAGGAAGAGGCAGATGCGATGGGAGAGGTCAGGCCCCACTCTACGGGGCCGTGTGCCCTTACCAGCCTTCACAGGGAGGTCAGCCAGGAGGCCCATGCGTTCCTGCTCTGTGCTGCAGGCCTTGAGTGCCTAGGGGCAGGCATAGGGATGAGCAGGTGGGCCTGGAGGACCTAGCCTTCATGGGGTAGGGGATAAGTGGGGAGCCCACCTGCTGTAAGAGGCGGGGGGAGGGGAAGGCATTGACAACAGCATCAGCCACAGCTGGGCTGACCCGATTAAACTGCCTGATCTGCCTCCACCAGGCCCTCTGCAGCCCTGTGCCATCTCTTGTCACTGGCTTGCCCACTGCCCAGCGTCCTGCGGTGCAGAAGGAAAAGGCATGGGACTCCTGGTACTGCCTGAAGACAGGGAAGAGCAGAAAGATCTTTTAGCAACTCCACCTTTCCTGAACACCCCTTTCCCAGCATGCATCAAAGCCCACCAGCCCTGCTTTGACCTCAAAGAGGCCAGGAAGGCACCACAACCTCCAGGTGACCCTATTCCCCCTCCCATTCCTGCAGTTTGGGCAGAAGTACACACTTGAAGGGGCGCTGAGCAAGGGCTTTGGTGATGGCGCAGACATGCTGACTCAGCTCCTTCCAGGAGGCCACCAGCAACACATCTATATTTGCCCGGAGCTGCAGGAGCACCAAGGCCTGGGGAGGATGCAAGCGTTGGGCAGGGGCTGGAGAAAGGATCCCCTGGGGACACTCAGTCCCCCCTCAGATCAATCCTACACACCATCCTGGGAACCAAACCCAGCAGAGGGCAGCCCAAGTGCCACAGCTAAGGCCCACCAACTCACCAATCCATACTGGCCCTCACCTCCTCCACCTCTGGCCAGCCAACAGCCACCTTGGCATGGGCCACCTCTGGACTCTCTGGCTGGTGTGCCTCCTTGGGGATGGGCTGGTGAGACCTGAGCAGAGATGACCATCCCTCTGGGCTCACCATTCTCTACAGGTCCTACCCTCCCTGAGTTCTCCTGTCCCTCTAGAGCCCATAGCAGCCTCCAGATGACCCCCACCCTCCCTGAGCCCCTGTCCCAGCCCAGGCATCAGGGTGAGTGATACCACAGGTAAGCGTCCAGCCCAATGATGGCCAGATGGGGGCAGGAGGGAATCTCAGGAAAGCTCCAGGGCACAGTGCAGGCTGGGCTAGAGACCTGCAGAGAGAGTGTATAGCACACATTTGGTCAGGGGAGGGCTGCAACAGTGGGGTCCACGGGCCACCTGGCCACAGGCACTTTACACAAGACCAGCAAGCACAAGAGCAAGCCAGTGGTGCAGGAGGAGCCCAGCAGCACTTCCTCTGCCCTGTCACCTCTTTCTGAGAAAACCATCCCTTGAGGTCGAGGGAGCTAAAGAAAACTCTTGGACATATCCTAGGCTTCTAGAAGGGGTGGACAAAGCCCCTCATTCCTGGTCTACCTCTGCACCCTACCCTGGCATTTACCTGGCACACAGCAGATGCCTGACAAGGGCTGATACTTGGACATTGGAACCTGACAAAGGATCTAACCTGATTACGAACTGGCACAATCATCACCAGACCACTGTCTGTTTCTTCTGCAGCCAAGGCTGCTGCTCACTGGCTGCCCTGTCAGTTTCAAATCTGCCCCCTCCCCCATCGTTTCTTGGCCTTTTCGCTAAGGTCAAGTGTCAATACTGCCCCCGGCTGTGCATGGACACTTCCAATCAGGCTCCAGGTTCCTGGCCAGTCCATTGCCCTCATCTCCTGAGCCTCCCTACTCTCCTAAGGACCTTTTCCCTGCTATAGCTTTCCAGAAGCAGCTAAGGCTCCTCTAAGAGTAGCTGAACCTCCTGCCAGTGCCCAAAAAGGCTCGGAGGCTTTCTTCATCTCATCTTCAATCTCTCCATGGTTTCTAACCAGAGAGGGATCCCAGCCTCCCACATTCCCTGTTCCAGCTACTCTTCCGTAGGGCAGAAACTGGCTGAGGAACCCAGCCTCTCATGATTTGTGGAGAAGAACTACTGCCTGCATCCAATCACCTGAGTCAGTTGGGCGACGCCATACAGAAACTCCTCAGGCTCCAGAAGCAGCAGCAGTTCAGGTTCCTCTGCCTCCCACACCTCAGGAGACACCTGTGGGAACAATCAGGGTGCAATGCTGCCCACCTTCTGCCTGTGCACCCTAGGGCCTCTGCCTGGGCAGCCCAGCAGCTCTGTGGTACATGGCCGCAGCCAAGCCCAACTCAGACACACTGACACTGGTACATGGCCACAGCCTCACTGGGTTCAGAACATTCTCCAGCAGCTCCTGAACTGAGAATCTGATGCCCAGCCCTGTTCTTTTCCAGCAGGGTGGTCTGGGCACCGTGCACTCAGCGTTTCCTGTTCTGAGTGTACTCATCTGCAAGACGTGCACGATAACACCAACCACACTTTGGGACGGTTCTAGGACAGGAAACCCTGGATGCAGCGCACTCAATCCCGGGGCGGACCTTTGGGAAACCCAGGAAACGGGGCTCCTGCTGCAGTCACCCGGGATACTCACGCTGTAGGGGCAAGGACAAGAGTCGGGCTTCATTCGGCTCCACCGGAGGCTCCGCGTGGGGCGCTGGGGCTCGATGTGATGCTCACAGCCCAAAGCCTCCAGGGCCTCCATCAAGACGTCTGCACTCGCATCTTCCAGAATGGCTGGGTCCACCGGAGGGAGACAGAACTCAGCCACTCCTTCCTTCCACTCACAGGAGGAACCTATTTGGGTGGGCGTCGCAGCCTGCCACACCCACATTCATTGTTTGCAGGCTTCAGGAGAGCAGAACCCAGCCCAGGTAGAAAGCCGGCCCCGAAGTCCCGGGCAGTAGGCAGCCGGCTGGGCGCCTCTTTCCGCCCCCATCGGACCGCAGACAACTTCCCTGCGGTGAAAGGGCATTTCCAACGCCCGAGCTCCAGGCAAAAGTGCGGACGTGGCGGCTACGGCCTGACCCCGCGGGGACCCTCACCCTCAGCCACACCTGGGTCCACGCGCACCGTGAGGCGCCTCAGGGCCTGGTCAGGCCGCAGCAGCCGCAGCGCCTCCTCTGCCACCTGGCGCTTCTCGACTGGGTCCCGGGCCTTCTCGGCAGCCTCTGCGCTGGTGGAGTCTTCGGCGTCCGAGTCCGAGAGCTCCCAAGTTGGGGGCCGCCGCGAGCGGCTCCCGCCCCGACCCCTGCGCGAGCCCGGGGCACTGCCGGATGTTCCCGACGCCATACCCGGTCAGGTCTCCTCCTCTCCGGCCGCGCCCGGACGCCTTTGTCGGGCACACAGGCCATTTCCGGTGGTGGGCGGGCCTCAAGGTTTGTAGCGGAGGCGGCTTCCGGCTGGAACGACTAGACCGCGGACCGGCCATGGCGCGGAAGAAGGTTCGCCCGCGGCTGATCGCGGAGCTCGCCCGCCGTGTGCGCGCTCTGCGCGAGCAGCGGGAGCGGCCGCGCGACTCGCAGCGCTATGCTCTGGATTATGAGACGTTGACGCGACCGTTCTCAGGCCGCCAGCTACCCGCTCGGGCCTGGACCGACGTGCGCCGCGAGAGCCGCCTCCTGCAGCTGCTGGGCCGCCTCCCGCTCTTCGGCCTGGGCCGCCTAGTTACGCGCAAGTCTTGGCTGTGGCAGCACGACGAACCGTGTTACTGGCGCCTCACGCGGGTCCGGCCCGACTACACAGCTCAGGTATGTGTGTGCCCGCACTCCTCCCAGCCACTCGGGGATGTGCCCTGTTGGTCGGTCCAGACTAGCCCTGCAGGCATCGCCTCCCAGACACTGAGCTTGTAGGGGCAGTAGTACCTTCTCCTCCATGCACGAGGATCCTGCCACCTAATCTCCAGAGGTCGAGGAGCCTCCTAAATGACTCGCTTCCCACTGCTTTGCAGAACTTGGACCACGGAAAGGCCTGGGGTATCCTCACCTTCAAAGGTAAGTCTTGAGGCTCGGCGTCTGTGGCTCAGGTGGCTAAGGCGCCAGACACATACACCTAAAGTGGAGCGTTCTAATCCAGCCCGGGCCCGCCAAACAATGACGGCTGCAACCAAAAAATAGCCGGGCGTTGTGGCAGGTGCCTGTGGTCCCAGCTACTTGGGAGGCTGAGGTAGGAGACTCGCTTGAGCCCAGGAGTTGGAGGTTGCTGTGAGCTGTGATGCCATGGCACTCTACCCAGGGTGATAGCTTGAGGCTCTGTCTCAAAAAAAAAAAAAAAAAAAAGGTAAGTCTTGGGAATCTAATGGGTAGTTAGGTGTAGACCACAGACTGTTAAGGAACCAGTGAAACAAGCTCTCTTTCTTTCTCCAGGGAAGACAGAGAGTGAGGCCCGGGAGATAGAACAGGCCATGTACCATGACTGGCGGCTGGTACCTAAGCATGAGGAGGAGGCCTTCACCGCCTTCACACTAGTCTCGGAGGACAGCCTGCGTTCTGTGCCCTACCCGCCACTCCTTCGGGCAATCATTCTTGCAGAGCGACGTAAAAATGGGGATACTAGCACTGAAGAGCCTATGTTGAACCTGGAGAGAATACACATAGAACCCTGGGACTACCCTGCAAAACTGGAGGCAAAGAGAAAGGCCAAGGGCACCCTGGTCTAAAATGCCAGAACTAGCAGGTTGCCTGAGTGGTGTAAGGTCATGGAGACCATTGTGAAGAAAGACAACCTTTGTGCTACACCAGAGTCAGCTTTCTCTGAGCTTAGAGCTCACCTTCCAGTGATTGGTTCTGAGGCTCTACATCTTAGTGGAGAGGGCTGGGGCAGACTTTGCACCTGTCTTTCCTCTGGCTCTGCTGCCCCAACAGCCACCTACGACTGAGGAACCCTGGGCTTGGCTGAAGAGGCTCTGGAGGAAAGTGCAAAGCAGCCAGGGAGCACAGGGTCCCCCTTTCCTAATACTCTGTGTGTCCAGGCAGAAGCTGCGCACAGAATAAAGAAACACGACGAGCCTGGGTTGTGGTTTCTTTGCGTTTGGGTTTGGGGGCAGGTTGTCTGCAGGACTGCGGGAAAGGCTGATGGGGTCTTGCGCTGACCTAGTGCCTGGGGCCCCCAGCTGGGTGAGGGGGGTGAATGCGAAGACCTGAGCGGGATAGGGGAGTCAGTGTCTGAATGGCTGGAGGTGACCTGGCCTCCGCAGTTGCCCTCCGGCTCCCCAGGGCCCTTGGATTCCCGGGGTGCAAGTGAAGTAGCCTCAAGATCCACAGCAGGACTGCGCCGCCTTACTGCCGGCGCCCGCCCTCCCCGCCGGCCTCAGGGAGGCAGTAGCGGGGAAGTTCCCTTTAAGCACAGGCCCCGCCCCGCGCAGCTTCCGCCAGGCCCTGGTCCGGCCGAGCTGAGGCCGCCATTATGATCTGCTTGGTACTGACCATCTTCGCAAGTCTCTTCCCCACGAGTGAGTGGGGCGGGGTGGGGTGGGGCGGGGGCAGGGGGCGGGCGGTGTTGGGCCGGCCTGACGTCCTGGTCCCCGCAGTCTACACTGGCGTGCACGAGCGCACCTTTCTGGCGGTGAAGCCAGACGGCGTGCAGCGGCGGCTGGTGGGCGAG